TGAACTCTGCAACAAATCTGTTTGCAAACCCTATCCCATACAGCCATAGTGCAATTAAGTTTTCAGTTTAATTATGTGCAAGGAGGATGTCAGTCATTTCTCAATGCTGACTTTGTACAAGGGCAACACCACTGGGCTGTTTAATAATTTATGTCCTTAATATCAGGGGGTGGTGTTTGGGAAAGTTCCTACTGTTGCCAGCAGGATATTAAGCATCCTTCCAAGAGAGCTGGTCTGATTGCAGCAAGCTCTTACAGCATTCATGAAGCACACTAAGGTGCATTTGCATTAGAGGTTCTGATGGAAATGTGATCTCTTAATTAGCACACCCTACTGAAGAGATCCCAGCACAAAACCACCAATAGGCTTAAGCAGCAGATGCTGCACCTGAAAATCAAGCGTCTGATGCATCAGTGCAGCTAAAAGCAGGAAAAGAAACAGAACAAGAGATGTGCTGCAAAGAGGAACTCTGCCTTGCTGCTGGTATCTTGCAGGTATCTCTTCTCGGCATCCCAGGAAAGCCAAGAGGGATGAGCTGGAACAATCCAGACAGAGGACAGCAGGAAGGCACAAGAAGCACCACTGACTTGCAAAAATCATCACCTGAGTTACTATCTTATTGATTTCTGTGCATTAGATAGCCAGGATATGGGCTGTACTGCCTGTTCCATAGAAGAACATTAAATTTGAGTAAAGAAATGCCCTTGCTTCTAGAAACTGGGAAAGTGCCAAAGGAGAGGCTTCTTTTACACTCTTTCCAAATATGTGCTCCTGACGCGATCAGCAGCAACGTCCAGTGGTGGATGAGTCTGCACTGCCTGGGCAGCAGTTTGTCAGATAGTTGGTAAAGAGCTGCAGAGCTGTAAAGCCTGCAAGAAATGTCCTGAGGGGTTGCTTGGCACTGAATGCAAATCCCCTGCCCACATCCATATCATCTGTGCTCATAGAGAAAAAGTTGCGAGCCACCAGCCAGAGATGGTGGTCATTAAAACCCCTTCCTGCAGTGCTCATCTTTCCTGAGCATGAGAGCAACTGACACCTGGAATGCACTGTGTCATCCACCTGTTCTGGAAATGCTGGTAACAGGTTTGAAAAATGAGTTTGGAAAAAGTCCTGGGAAGGACCAAGCCTGTGTTCCATAGGCCCCTGAGGCATCCTACCGTGGTAAGCAGAAAAGCAGTGATGTGGTGCCCTTCCTGGATGTCAAAGTCATACGAGCATTATTTTAATGGATGAGTCATCTATTTCATAGTTGTGTAAAGTCCTAATGAAGTCCAGGGCAGAAAGCAGACACATCTAAGGCTGTGCTTACCTGGATCATCTTTATTTTCCATATGTTTATGCCCCACTGTCGCTGTCCTTCCCTGGCCCTGGAGAAGTGCCTTGCATCAGCTTTTCCCCCATGAACAATGAGCAATGTCCTTGGGCAAAGTCCCCAAGCAAAGCACTGGTGTTTCAGAGTAGCAGCCCCGTGTGTGATTGCTGTCCCCCTTCTTTAGGGTGCCATCCCCACTGTGGGCAGGGAATGGCACAGAAAGGCATGGTCTGTGCTCAGAGCAGGGTTTTGCAGGATGATGCTGGGCACAGTGCAGTGCTACAGGTACGAACTAACCCACTCAGCACCTTTGCTTTCCTAGTTCCAGACACTGTACAGCCTGTTGTATGGAATGCCAAGCTCTTCAGCTTCATTTTAGCATTGTGGTCTTGCCCTAGGTGAAGACAACTTGAGTGATTTAAGTCCATGTCACTGGTGATAAATAGCTGCAGTGTTAAGAGAAATCTTCCTCTCTGTTTTTCTTTTTTTCTCTCTTTTTTTAGCCTTCTGCTTAGTTTGCAGGTGGGAAAAAAAAAAAAAGTGTTATTTTCTTTTTTCCAAATTATTAACCCTAACCCTAACCTAACCCTAAAATGAGCTAATAATAAAAATGGGCTAATAGTACACCCAGGCTTTATCAGATCTGATGCCTGATCCTGCAATGCTACAGAAGCAACTCAGCAACGTAAGCTCCTCTTGATGCATCAGTTTTTGTTGCTCAACTGCAACAATGAGAAAAAATGCTGAAATGAGCTGATACAACGTAGGTATTTAAAATGTGATTGGGAAGAGTGATGTCCCAGGCCAGACACATCCTTTAAACCTCCTTCATGGTACTCAGTCATGCTGCAGGTGGTGGGTGTTCAGTGCCTCCTGCCTGCAGAAGGGGCAACAGAAGCTGGAAACAGGGCTGCATCCAGCAGAACCCAGCTGGGCACTGTGGGCTTTTACAAAAAATAACCATCCCACTGTTAAACCAGGGTGTTAGCTCTGCTCAGAGTATATGCAGGATTGGGCTCCACTTATCCCCTTCCCCCTCCCCAGCCCTGCCTCCACACTAACCTACTTTCTCACTTTGTGGAAAGAACATCTTGGATTATGGTGCTGCAAATGAAAGGCTTCAGTCATTGTATCAGACGAATCACAGGTAAGCACAGGGTTTTATGTCAGCTTTTTGGCAGCTTCTTTATTCCCTCCCTGCTTTGCACAAACAAGCCGTCTTTGTGCGGAAGTTCATTTTTCCTTTGGAGACCATGGTTTGTCAACACGGTTTTTCAATAATCCTTGCCATGCAGATAAGGCAGAGCTAAAGCAGATCCCTTTTACTGTTGCTGAAAAGCTACCCGATCCTTCTGCAAAGTACTGCTCACTGAGGTCTGTCCCCTCCATCCCTGTCACCAGGCAGGAGGACAAAAGCTGTGCCCAGGTGACAGATCTGAAATCCCAGTGCAAAATACAACCTCGATTCCATTTCTTCCAGTGGAGGGAGCTGTGTTGGTGTCTGGAGTGATTTGGGTGATTTTTTGCAGCATTAGCTGTATTTCCTTGCACACATCCTGTTTCGTCTGGCCCCACTCACTCAGCTTTTGGAGCCCATCAGGAATATGGAAATCTCAAGTTCCCTATTTGCTTATTGCTGATGGTTCCCAAGTTATTTTAAGGTAAAAGTGTAAAATGGGAAACAAGCTTGAATGGACAGAAAAAAAGCCCACTAAAGCCAGCTGGAGTGTGGGGAGGGACTGAGCTGCAGCAGAGCTACATGGAGGAGCCAACCTGCTTCCAGCCTGCTGCAGCATCTTGGTGGCCCTGTTCATCACCTGACTGCTTTTCTGTGCCAGTAAACTCCCTGGCAACCTCCACCCTTGCAGACCATTCTCCCCTCCTATCAGGCACCCTAGGCTGCATTTTTGCAATTGCATTGGCATCAGCTGATTCTGGAGGCAACCAGCCAGATCTGCAGCTGGACAGAACTGACACAGAGGGAAATCTTTTAAATCCCTAAGCTCTTCCTAAATCCAACAACATCATTGGAATATCTCAAATAAATAAATAAATAAATAAACAAACCTACCCTACAGTTCTATGTATTTATTGCTATGATGATATATTTTGGTTGCAAGCCCTGAAATGGGGAAGATCTAATTTATGTGTAACTTTGGGTTCACTGAATTCTAAGTCATTTTCTGGGCAGGTCAGTAAAAGTCCACATAAGCCATCCAGAGCAGCTTCCCACTCCAGATGGCCATCATGAACATCCCAGCACCTCCAATGAGGATGCAGCAGGGATGCAGCAGCCTCTTGCTGTCTGTGATGGGCTGCTCCTGCTGCCAGGTTCTGAACAAGCTCCTGCACCCTCCACACAGACTCCATCAGGCTCCCTCGGCTTCACAGCACCAAGCTGAAAAACTCTCCCCATTCCCATCATATCTTGGTGCACTGAGGAAGCTTTCCTTCTTTTATCAAGGAGGAATTTACCAGCATCAAGGGATACTTCTTCAGAGGCAGCACCACTAGCTCTCAAACCACTCTAGGACACCTCTGCTTCAGGAATTCCCCCTTCCTTGGACCCTCACGGTCTGATGATTGACAGCAGTTGTCACCGCTTGGTCTCAGCTCGTTAGGAGCAGCCCTCCCAGGCACTCTGCACACAGGGGATGCAGTGTTTGCTGTCTCAGTGAGTGGCAGGTTTAAGGAGAGCCTTACTGCAGATTGGCCGGCATTTTCAATAAGAAAACTGATATTTTTAATCTTCTTCTCCGTATCTTTAAGAAAATTATAATGGATGTCAGGGCAAAAGACCACAGTCAGGTAAGATGCCATGTCAATTGGGAAGTTTCAGCATGTCCCGCTGTTATTTGCTGGAGGTGTCCCTTCTCCCTGACTGGGACTAATACTCCCACTCGGAGGCCATAGTGGCATCTGTTATGCTCAGGCTCCCTCTAGTGCCTTTATGTCCTGGTATCCCTGCTCCTCCGGGTCCATTTGTCGCCGGGAGCTGTCCTTCGATCCCACTCCCCTCCAGCTTTGTTAGTGTGGGCTTTACACCACAGCCAAGCCCTACTTGCCCCTCTCCCCCAGACCAGTAGCTCGCCAGCGTTAAGGAATGCTCCATAGCGCAAAGCAGAGTCCTTCTGGGCTCCTCCTAGCCAGCACCTGAATAGGATCACAGAATCATAAGGGTTGGAAGGAACCTCTGGAGATCACCAAGTCCAATCTCCCAGCACTAAGACTTGGCACCACAGGCACCCCATGCGTTTCACCATGAGCTGGGGCAGCCCTGGGAAACACTGGGAGAAAATTATCCCATGCTAAACGTCCATAAATATCAGGACACCACAAAAACATCACAAAAAGCCCCGTTCATCTCTCTTTTAAGGTAGTTCCTTCAAACACAGAATGCTTTTCTGATCCACTCAGAAGCCACTGAATTGTGTGATACAAGAACACTTACAGAGAGGACATGGTTGTCAAAGAAACTTTGGCTTTATTTGGGTTTTCTCTGGGGCTTTGGTGTTTTGTTTTTTGGTTTTTTTTAATTGTTTTACAGGAACTCAGCCGCTGGGCCGGGAAGACGAGGGAGAGGACGGGGAGGAACGGTCGCGACGCGGAACCTCCATGCCGGCGGCGCTTGTTGCGCACCCGACCAACTGACTTCCGGTACATACTTCCGGTGCGGCCTACCACCATTACCCAGGGGCCCTTGCGCGGCCTTTCTCTTCCGGTGTGACTCTGTCCGCTGTGGGTTCGGTAGGTGCCGCTCCGCGCAATCCGGCTCCATCCGCGCTCCACCGGCCGCTCCCGGCGTCGGGCTCCGGCACAGCGGGCTGCGGGAGCACCGCGGGAGGCGGGGCCGAGCCGAGCCGAGCCGAGCTGAGCTGAGCTGTATCGTCTCTTCTGTCCCGCAGGTGCCGCCATGGCCAAGTCCAAGAACCACACCACGCACAATCAGTGTGAGTCGGGGCCCGGCGCGGGGTCGGGGGTGGAGCCCGGCGGGGACGCGCGGCGCCGGTCCGGGCTGAAGTGAGATCAGTTGGGGGAGGAGGTAGCGGGAGCTGAGCTGCGGCTGCCACTGCTGGGCTTAATGCAGAGACTGCATAACCACAGGAAAGCAAGCATCACAGCTCTGCGTGTTCTGATGTGATGCCTTGCATCCAGGGAGAAGCGTGGTCATAAAGTAATTCCTTTTCTCTTTTTTTGTTTTGTTTTCCTTTTTTGTTTTCCCTCATATTAATTGGTGTAAGCTTGCAGTGTTTGCAGTCAGGTTCTGCTGGTCCTGGCACGGCCAGCACTAATGCCTTGTAATGCTGAACACAGATACTGAAAAGTGCCTGAGGCCATTCCATGTACGTGTGTATGTGCTGCTTCTATTTTAATAATTAATACACAGCCTGAAATCCTTAATTAGAAAGGTTTACACTGCTGAGAGCACAGTGTGCCAAGGGATGGGAATGGAGGTGCTCCCCTTATCTGAATTCAGCTGGGGCTGGCTGATTTTCTGTTCTGCATTATTGTCACAGTATATTTAAAAGAAAGTAAACACAGCTTTTCAATAGTAGTTGAAGTTGTAATCTGTATTGTTTCCTTGTGTTTCACGTAGCCCGCAAGTGGCACAGAAATGGCATCAAGAAGCCCAGATCCCATAGATATGAGTCTCTTAAAGGGGTGAGTATTTTTGCTCATGTTTCCAAGCTGTTCAGACTCCAGAAAATCCAGTAGTGGTGTTTCTTCACAGAATCACAGAATGGCCGGGGTTGGAAAGGACCTCAAGGATCATTAAGTTCCAAGTCCCCTGACACAGGCAGGGCCACCAACTCCACATTTAATACTAGACCAGGCTGCCCAGGGCCCCATCCAAACCTCCAGGGATGGATGGGGCATCTACAACCTCTCTGGGCAGCTGTTCCAGCACCTCACCACTCTCATAGTAAAGAACTTCCCCTGGTATCCAACCTAAATCTTCCCTCCCTCTACTTAAAACCATTTTCCCTTGTCTTTCCTTTTAAAGAGTTGGTTCCCCTCCTGTTTGTAGGCTCCCTTTAGGTACTGAAAGGTTGCAGTAAGGTCACTCCACAGCCTTCTTTTCTCCAGGCTGAACAAGCTCTGCTCCCTCAGCCTGTCTTCGTAGTGGAAGTGCTCCAGCCCTCTGATCATCTTTGTGGCTCCTCTGGACCCTCTCCAACAGCTCTCTTGTCTTTTCTGTACTGGGGGCTCCAGACCTGGACGCAGTACTGCAGATGGGGCCTCACAAGAGCAGAGTAGAGAGGGACAATCATCTCTGTCACCCTGCTGGCCACCCCTCTTTTGATGGAGCCCAGTGTACCATTTGTATTTGCCATTTTTCTTACCTTTGACTGTCGGCATTTTTGCAGATGATAGCTGTGGGCTTCTCTTGCATCGTTTGCTCACCTTAATTGCTGCTGTGGTAGTTCTAACCCATGTGAAATCCACACTGTATTTCTACAAAACTGCTTATTACCCATTGGCCACCTCTGTTCTGCTTGGAATCAGTATCGTTAAATATTGCTTCCAGTGAAGCAAACACAAGGCTTCACTGCTCTCCTTCACTTTAAATCCTGCTGTGTCTCTGCCCTTCCCTTCAGTGTTGTTATAGCATCTGTACTAGTACACAGAATTTCCTTCAGGAAAGAAGAATTGGCATTGCTGGATGGTACACATGGTAATAACAAAATTTGCATTTTCTTGATACTGAACACTTGGTACACCACTAACTTTCTCCACACAACAGAGAGAAAAAGAAAAAAGGATATTGTTCTGGTTTGGAAAAGTGCTGCGATTCTGTTTACCTTGTCGATGTGGTAATTTGCTTTTCAGAAGTGATGTAGGAGTTTCTGCCATGCTCAGTGAGGGTTCAGTGCTCTGAAAATACTCATGCTATCTATGAGTGTTGCCTCATTTCAAGCACACATGAGTTAAGTTGGAAAAAATCCTGCTAGCTGTGTGTACTGGGGAAAATTCCTTGGAATAAAGTAGGAGATTTGTTTCAGTGGGGCACTGATACATCTGAGGTTTGCTCAAAGCCATGAAAGGGTGCGTTAGTGAGCCAGTAGCTGACAAAAGACAGGAGCAGCTCTTCAGAACACAGAAATGAAATTTGTCTTGTTTGCAGCATTGCTTAATTTGTCCTTTCTGTATGTTTATTACTTGGCTTTAGAGTTTTTTTGTTTGTTTAGAAATGAAGGAAAATATAGTAAAGGATGGCTGTGAGTAGCTAAAATAATTCTGTTGCTATCAAATCAGAAAATGTATCTGCATTAATCACAGCTAGAACTGCAATAACTGGAATGTGATGGAAATACACGTTCCTTTTATGTATATTGGGGCTCATGTTTCCTTTGTTTTCACAGGTTGATCCCAAGTTTCTGAGAAACATGAGATTTGCCAAGAAACACAACAAGAAGGGGCTGAAGAAGATGCAAGCCAACAATGCCAAGCAGGCAGCTCTACAGAAAAAGGACTGACCTGGTTTAAGACAAAGAACCAGTTTGCCTTTTGGCATGTATGTTTAAAGCATTTTTGTACAAATAAAATTGGACATAACAAAGTTTTCATCTCCTGAATTTGAGAAGAACCCTCGAAAGTGCCTTGAGTTTTATTATAGATGCCAATTCTGTGTTATCACATCTGCATGTAGTGACCAGTGCATGGTTTTCTTCCATATCAGATAAGGTGCAGAGGTTGTGTGTTGATGTTCTTAGCCTCCACTAGTCCTAGGTAAAGCAGCTGCTTCTTCCTCAGTAGTGTTCTACTGCAATTGTTGGTATGGACTGTGAACATCTAATAACTCACAGCCTGTTTTCAGTTTGTGAAATTGTTACTGAGTGAAGCTTTAAAATAGAACAAGCAGCAATATTTTGCATCGCACAGGCTCTTAGATGACAGTATTCAGTATAGGTAGAACTGGTTTTGATAATGGATGTGTGTTCAAAGCTGTCTCATACTGTGATCTGTGCAGCAGTTCTTAGTGCTGTTAGAGCATAACCAGACTTGGAGGGCTGTTCCTTACACATTCTCTGCATTACTGTTCAAGTCAGGTAGCTACAGCAATGGAAATCCTGGAAAATCAGGAAGACTGCTGAGTTAACTGCAGTGTAAGATCATAGCAATTAATAATAGTAGTATGTGTTGTCTTCTAAAATGCTTCAAGAAATAAAGTGTTAAAAGGGTGCTAACTGTTAGTAATTTAACTGTATAAAATACCCAGATTTTTCATAGCTACTGTTATTTCAATAGGAGTTTTTCATAGGGGAACTACAGGCCTGTCAGCATGACATCAGTGCCAGGGAAGGTCACGGAACAAATCCTCCTGGGAGAGATCACACAGCTCATGCATGGCGTCCACAGGATCAGGCCCCCAGCCAGCACGGGTTCATGAAAGGCAGGTCATACTTGACCAATCTCATTTCCTTCTACGACTGGGTGACCAGACTGGTAAATGAGGGAAAGGCTGTTGATGTAGTCTACCTAGACTTCAGCAAAGCCTTTGACATGGTCTCTCACAGGATTTTCCTGTGGAAACTGGCTGCCCGTGGCTTGGACAGTTTTACCCTCCATTGGGTAAGGAACTGGCTGGAGGGC